AATATTGCAATGAACCCAGGCGAGATAACACTCATTGAACATCCAGATACTGTTCGCAGCAACGCACGAGCATCAGCGCTCGTGCAGCAATAGTCCAATGGCTCAATGACAAAGCAACTYGAGTAATCCAGTCTTGTTGATGAATAATGTCGAACAGATCTGTTCCACTATCCGAGTATATACATACATAGACGAGAGAGAGAGAGGGGGGAAGAAAAGACTTAGGAAAGAAGTTGCCCACTTCTCCTTCGGGCCAATCGGAGTCGCCCCCTCTCCAGCAGCGTCAATCCAAATACAGATCTGAGTTCCTCAAGGTGCCACGTAGCACATCAGCATTCTCTTCATCAACGGAGCAGCAATGTCATCTCAATAAGCAGGTACGTGTCATCTCAACCCCACAGTCCCTGACCTCCTTCCGGATGACGATAGCCTGAACAGCGAATGAACACGTGGTACAGCCACGTCACCAACATCCTACGTGGCAGCAGCCATGTCAGCAATGACACGTGGCGCTGCCACGTCAGCACCTTGTAGACAAGAGCAAGCCAGCCCCCATGCCAGCAAGCAAGCAGCGTGTCGCCACTGAGGAATGTCAGCGTCCAGCTAGCAATTAGCCAGCACCTCGTAAGCCAGCGTCGTGTCAAAGTAGAGTCAGCCTTGACTCGCGACAGAATGAATGGTGTCAAAGCCAGGAGTCAACTTTAAGTAGCGTTGACTCGGGGTCAATGCCCCGCTGCAGTGGTCCTGTGCCGTCAAGATCTTGATGCGGCGACGGTCTGGATCGGTCTGCAACTGTTTCTCCCTTGGTCCGATGTCTTGGCCCGGTACCTACATACAACACATGTGTGTATCTGTTCGTGGACTTGGGTACGGTACCTGCGACCCGACAGTTGACTTTGACCTTTGAATTTCCCTAGTCCAGCGCTGGCTCTCACTTGCCAGACGCTGGGCTGGGCCGGGCAGTGCGTGGTCACACAGCCCGGCCTCTACAGAGTGCGGGTTACTGCATTCCTGCCGACCCAATTTTGAGTTCCATCGCAGAAATAATCAACCTTTCAACCCACGCTCATATGCAGAGACAATGTCAGGAGCAGTTTCAAGGAGCTGTTGTTTGCTGAACCACCGATCCTCGGATGGTTTTTGAGTCTTAAATCTTACCTTGAACTGCTTCTGCGGTCGTCCACGCCTTCCGGTGGAGAAGAACCCATGGTCTACAATCCGATCTACTTCATAACTTCCGTTCATCGAAGGTGGAATCATAGAAGGCCTGTTACGAAACTCATCTCCTTCCACATACGGTAGCAACTTAAAGGCATGGAATACACGGTAGGTTTTGAGATGCGGGGGAATATCAATTCTGTAGGACGGTCCCTTTGCATCTCCAATTACTTTGAGAACTTCCCTGGGCCCAAAGTAGACAGGCAACAATTTCTGTGAAACATCTTCTTCCAAGGAGAACTCATTAGACTTTACCCAAACCATGTCACCTACTTGAAAGTTAGCAGGTCTTCGATGTTTGTTGGCCTGGTTAATCATCTGTTCTTGTGCTTTCTTTAGATTCTCCTTAACTTTCTGGATGTCTTCTTGGAACAGAACTGCATATTCACGGGTTCCTGGCGGTAGCCGTAAAAATTGGTCCCTGGTTAATACATCAATGGGACGTCGCGACTTCCATCCTTTATGTAGTGCGTTAGGAGTGTGTCCGGTTGCAGTGTGGACGCCGTTGTTGTATGCACTAGCTATTTTTGGTAAGTTCTCGTCCCAATCAATCTGATCGGGCCTGACATACATGCGCAAGAGCTGTTGGCACAAGCGATTCATTTGCTCGCTTTGCCCATTCGTTTCAGGATGGCGTCCTGACGACATGGTCAAACGAGTGCCGTATGCCTCCATCAGCTTTTGCCATGGCATACTTGTGAACCTCACATCCCTGTCAGATACGATAGACAATGGGAATCCATACTCAGTTACCCATCGCATCTGAAACTTCTGGATCACAAGCTCAGTTTTCGCTTCAGCAGGCAAAGGAATAAACATTGCATACTTAGAGAAACGATCAACTACAACCATCACTTGACTGTTGCCATTTCGACTCTTGACGAGACTCATGAAGTCTATGGAGATAGACTCACCTGGTTCGCTGGGAATTGGTAGGGGCCTTAGTAGACCCAGAGGGTTCTCATGTGGTGGTTTGTTTCTCTGACATACCAGACAAGTACGCACATATGTTAGTACATCTTCCTTTAGTCCTTTCCAATCGAAGCGTTCTCTTACTTCTGCATAAGTTTTCTTGAAACCAAAATRTYCTGCRAAGTCATGACATTCCCCAATCAGCAGACTTTTAATCTCTTCTTTGTGAGGAATACACAACCGTTGTTCAGTTTCGTCTATCAAGAAAAGCAATTCATTTGTCATCTTATACTTGGGTAACAGGGCAGGATCCTTAGTGACAAGGTCAATGATGGGTTTCGAGATAGGATCATTAGCATAGCCTTGTCGAATCTGTTCCTGCACATCATTTCCTATATCCAAGTAGGAGATAATTCTTCCAAAGAAATCACTTCTCCTAGACAATGCATCTGCCACAACGTTAGACTTACCTTTGACTGTCTTCAACTCAAAGTCAAAGGTGTCGAGGAAAGTAGACCATCTTACTAGTTTGTCAGAGAGTCTTGGTTGAGTCTTTATCCACTTCAGTGTCGAGTGATCTGAGTAGACAGTGAAGTGCCTCCCTAACAAGTAGTGTTTCCAAGATTTCAGTGCACAGAAAAACGCATACAATTCCCTTTCGTAAGTGGAGTCGGCGACCGTCTGAGTAGGAAGTCTGGCAGACATGAACTCAATAGGTCTGTAACCCTTACCATCGTCCTGTTGTAGGACTGCGCCAATTCCATACTGACTTGCGTCAGTGGTCACAATAAAGGGAAGAGATGGATCAACGATTTTCAGAACAGGGTAGTGAGTCAGTGCATATTTTAACTTCTTCATTGATGACTCACAGTCCTTGTCCCACAACCATATGGTTCCTTTCTTCAGGAGTCTTCTCATGGGAGCAACAACTAAGGAGAAGTTCCTAACAAACTTCCTATAGTAACTGGCTAACCCAAGGAAAAACCTCAACTCAGTGATGGACTTTGGTTGTGGCCAATCTCTAATCGCTGAAATTTTCTTCGCTTCCGGTCTGAGTCCNAATCTCTAATCGCTGAAATTTTCTTCGCTTCCGGTCTGAGTCCTTCTTCGTTAACTATATGCCCTAAGTAGAGCACTTCAGGTTTTGCAAACTCATACTTCTTTGGGTTAAGTTTAAAATTACCTTCTCGTAGCTTACCCAAGACGAGACGCAAGTGTTTCTCGTGATCCTCCAACGTTTTGCTGTAGACTAGGATGTCATCGAGATACATAATTACAAACTGATCCAACCACTGTCGAAACAATTCGTTCATAGACCTTTGGAAGGTCGCAGGGGCATTCGTCAATCCGAAGGGCATGACCACAAACTCGTAGTGTCCATACCTAGTTCGAAATTCGGGCGCCACCTCGATTTGGTGGTATCCCGACTTCAGATCAATCTTGCTGAAGTTCTTGCATCCCTGCAGCTGATCCAACAAGTCGTCAATTCGTGGTAGGGGTTCAACGTTTTTCACAGTGACGGAGTTCAACCCTCTATAGTCAATGCATAGACACAACTCACCTTCCTTTTTGGGCACAAATAAGACAGGTGCTCCATAAGGTGAGGAACTAAGGCGAATCCATCCTTTGTTAGTTAATTCCTGGAGTTGCTTGCACAATTCCTCAAGTTCCCTAGGCGACATTCGATAGATAGGGCCCTTGGGAGTCTTACTTCCAGGAATGATCTCGATAGTGTGCTTGATAGCACGCTCAATGATCCAGTAGGTTCCTGAGATAGATCTTTATACTCATCTAAGAGTTTTTGTATCGATGGAGGATAAGGTGTCGAAGACTCACCAACTTCCTTTACCAACACCATCATTACCTCCTGATCCAATTGCTTCTTCCTGACCATCGATCGAAAAGTTGGATAGCTCATACAACAGAAAGACAGAGTAGAGTCAGATCCAGACTTGTGATACAGTTTGATGACCTCGAGTTCAGATTGTGCGTTTTTCAGGCGTACTTCCTTTTCCTTGAACTTTATTTATGGGTTGGCTTCCTCGTGCCAATCCATTTCCAGAATCATATCAAAACGCAAGTTCTTCTCAATTAAGAAGGATACTTCATGCACAATCTTCTTTCCAATTTTAGTTCTGAATTTACATTTCACACGATCGACATAATGAGAGACAATGATCGTGCTTTTATCAGCAAGAATAGACGTGATAGGTCGTGCTAAACACTTTACCTTCATTCCAAGATGAAGCTTGCGAATAGCTCTCTCAGAAATGTAGGATCGTGTAGATTCTGAGTCTAAAAGTGCACCCGTCCGTTCGACTTTGCTTTCTTTGCCCATGAGCTTCGTAGTGTCAGCAACTCATTACCAAGCTCATCAAAGGAGTCATCCAGAGAGACATAACATAAGACAGGTTCAGGGTGATCTGGATGATGGGCCGGAGGACAACCATCCTCTGCCACGCGAGTCGAAGAAGTGAAAGGGTTAGTAGGCGCCTTACCTTTCTCATCGTCTGACTTCTTCAACTCAGTAGGAGCAGATGCTACTCCTACTGGCGGCTCGCTTTTGGGTGTTGGATGAGTGGACACCATGCAATGATGTGTCCCTCCTTTCCAGACTTTAAACACTGCGCATTGTCCATCCTATCCTGACAGGTCTTTTGGTCAATCTCCATTTTCTCCCACGGCTTGAATGTCGCGATACCTGGGTGCGCAGGAAACGAGCGTGGTTTCCTCCCTCGATACGGACCTTGTGGTCCTCCTTTGTTGACCACGACAACAGTGACGTCCCCCTTTCCGGACTCACTGCTGCTAGGAACTCCTTCTTCTAACGGTAGCTTCTCCACTGTGTCGTCGTCGAAAACGACAAGCATGTGGTCCTGACGCTTTTGGCGCCAAAGGACTCGCTTACCGTATCTCGCACCTGCACCTGCACCACCAGATTTCACCATAGATGCATATGATTGTTTAACTTGAGAAGTCATTTGCTCTCTCTGGAGAGCCAAATCACGAAATTGCCGGTACTTGTACTTACCCGACTTTGACTCGACCACTAACTGACCTCTTATAGGTTCAGGTAAGGCCCGGGCATAAATATACAAGACCTGATCATCCTGCAGATTTAAGCCCGGTACTTGCAGCAATCGGTCGACCTCACGGGACAATGCTTCCACAGACGTCCAATGTTTCTGACATATGGTAGTGAGCTGATCGAAGGCCTTATCAGCCGTTGTCTTGTCAAGGAAACGTTCCCGGATCTTGTCCAGGAACTGTTTCAGGGTTATCGTACCGGCCCACTTGCCAATATCATCGAATCCGGCTGCGTTAGCTTCGGCCAGAACCCACTCTTTGGCCTCCCCTCCGAGACACGACGTGGAGAAGGCGACCTGTGATTCTTCTTCCACGGGGGTCGTCCCGACGTAGGTCTGTATTTCTGCAATCCACAGTAATAAGTTTTCATCCTTCTTATTACTGAACGTGAAAGACAATTTCATCTTTACCTTTTCCTTCTTCTTTGGCTTCTCACTTTTCTCTTCTTTATCTTTCTTTCCTCCTGATGGGTGAGGACTGGATGGGGGACCTGATGGTGCCGTCGGTGGAGGAGGCCCAGATGGTTCCCCCTTCTTTACTTCGACCCTGAGATCTTTCATAGCATCACCCATTAGTTTCTTCACAGGTTGTTCCTTCCGAACCTCTTTTTCCTTTCCTTTGACCAAGTTAGTCACATTCTTCAATCCTACGGTCAATTCTTCCAACTTTGCTTCAAAATGGTCGAGCCTTGTCTCCAAGTGAGCAAGGTACTCAACCAGTTGGTTCAGTGCCACAACCTGTTCTTCCCCTGACACAGTTACCACATGCTGTCTGACTTCTTGTTCTCGTTTTGCTTGCTGTTCATCTTGTTCTTTCTTCTTTAGCATTTCCGCCTTGCGCGTTTTCTCTTTTTCAAGAGCTTCTTCCAATTGGCGGATGTTCTCATCAATCGTCTGTTCCGTGACCACCACATAATTTTTGGCATTTCTGCCATTTGCTATGTCTTCGAACTGCTGACAGATGTGCGTATCCAGTGCTTTACGGCACTGGATAATGAACTCTTGTATCTTCAATAGGTCGGTGCCAGTTTGAGCTGCATCCAGGTCTGCCTGGGCTTTCCGCAGATCAAACTGGGCCCTCACATGTGACTCAGCCTCTGCACCGGCGTCGTGCAGTTCAGTGGCCAGAATGTTGAGCCGTCCAGACAACAGTTGTCGTCTCTGCTCAACCTGAGCCCTGGTACGAGGGTCAGGGAGCTGCTCAACACTCTGGCCCTCAACTGGGGTCTGAACAGTCTCTTCCTGAGACATTTCGGTGTGGAGAATCTACCGCACAATAAACAGAAAATAAACAATAATTAATTCCGCGGCCTCACAGATTCCACACAGCAGATTACAGCAAGAGTAATGACAGCAAAATAACTGTGGATTATATTTTCAATTATTTTTCTTTTTCTTTTTCTTCGCTGTTCTTATTTATCTAACTCAACGTGTTGACGTGCTTTTGCAGGTACTGATCCGGACACAGTGACCAGATGCACACAGGTGAGTATGCCAGCACAGGACAAACAAACGACACAGGGAAAACAAGCAAACATCAACAGCAATCAATATGTCAGCATCAATAATCCCCTGCGTCAGTCCTGATCAAAGCAACAATCACCCTGCTGCGACAGCTGGCACTACAGCTATTCAATTAGCTGCACCGCCTCTGTCGTCAGAATGATCCTCCCACCCAGGCACACACGTGCCAATCACGTAACACCGCGGTAATGCCAACTCAGCAAGCACACAACACTTGCCACGTCAGCATCAAGTAATGCCAACTCAGCAAGCACACAACACTTGCCACGTCAGCATCAAGTAATCAATCAATCAAGAGGGGGATGCCACGTCAGCCAATCTGGCCCCCAGATAGGACTTCAATCAAGCCGCGTCAGCAGGGAAACAACAACAAGTCAGTATCCCCCCTGCCACGTCAGCAATCAAGGTCCCTGCTCAAGGTCTCGCCAATGTGTTGTCTTCAAAGCATCATCATCATCATCTTCTTCTCACCGGCGCGCGCATTCTTCAAGGGAGGAGAGTGCTTCTTCTCTAGACGAACGCGTTGAAATCGCGTTTCAGCATTCTCTCCCCCCCACTATTTTTCCCGCCACGTCATCAGCGCGTCTCCGGGTCTTGATCGAGCACGCGCGACAATCAACTCAAGCGCGGCCCGATGGAACTTCGTCGTCATATGCTCTTCGTCGTCGTGATGAACTTCGTCAAGGTCGTGATCACATTCGTGATCTTGATCGTCGTCGTGATGATCTTTGTCAAGGTCGTGATGACATTCGTGATCTTGGTCATCGTCGTGATGATCTTCGTCAAGGTCGTGATCACATTCGTGATCGTGTCTTCCGTGATCACGTTCGTGATTGCGATCGTGTTCGTGACCTCCTACCAAGTCGTCATCAAGATCCGACCGACGCAATCACCAACGTCGACGTGATATTCTACTTCAGCGCGCGCACGTGTGCGCGCGATTTTCGGAAGTACTGCTCCGATACCAATCTGCAATGAACCCAGGCGAGATAACACTCATTGAACATCCAGATACTGTTCGCAGCAACGCACGAGCATCAGCGCTCGTGCAGCAATAGTCCAATGGCTCAATGACAAAGCAACTCGAGTAATCCAGTCTTGTTGATGAATAATGTCGAACAGATCTGTTCCACTATCCGAGTATATACATACATAGACGAGAGAGAGAGAGGGGGGAAGAAAAGA